TTCCATATTTCGAACAGATAGATTTGCCGTAAATGCTTCCTTCAGATAGATGGTGATTTGAGTCTGGAGACGAAAAAATTTTTCACATCTGCTGACCATGGTTTCTTTAGTCCTCTAAACACGTCGGGATTATGCCACAGAAATGGAGCAGAGAAGAAAAACGGCAAACGTAAAATTACAGAGAACTGCTACTTCAGTTTCGAACTTCGCAATGATATCATTTTTTAAAGATTAAAGATTTTGGTTAAATCACTGGACTGCTAGTAACACTTATTCGTAGGAGTTGCATTCTTGAAAACAATAATACGGAAATTTCCTGCCATAAAAACAAATATAATAATATAATTTCGAGGTTGGTAACAGTCCTGAAATACAGCGTAAACGAAGTTAATTATAAAAGTGCCCAAGACTGTCAGATGGCAAACCGCTACCGACGATTCGTCCAGTATCTTTCGGCCCTCTTCAAGATAAAAGCGGAGATGGTGCTCAATTGGTACAGAATTCGTCTACCAGATCGGTTGGTGATGTAAGCCTAGCAGCTCATATGGCTTTAAGGCTTAAACCGATTTACATGCTGCAAAGGACTTCGTCAGCACCCTAAATATCTTGATGAAGGCTCGCTCGATACGCGGCCGAAACGTAGGTAGTGATCTATCATCCAATCGACCTTTTTTGCCTTGTGCATAAATAAATTCTGTTCATACTGTGCTATAATAATGGACATGCATATTGCCAACTGCCACCATCATCTCCTATTTGATGAAACAGGCATCTTCCATTTCCCTTAGTATGAACTTTTGTCCATTTCACTAAAAAATAAATGAATTGAATTTTCGGTCAAGAAATAAGAGTAATAATCAAATGAAATGCATGGGACAGTGGCGCGGGTGGGGTAGGAAAGCATTGGGTTTTGCACTGATTAAGTGCAGATCCATATCTAAATGTGGCGTAAATTTTCGAGCTTCTGAGACTTCTGAAGATGCCGTCTCATGCGTTGGCTGTGATTCGAATTGATCCACATGACAGTCCCTTACCTTACATCGGCACAAAGTCAGTCAGTCGGATCGCTTATTGTTTTGGGTCGCGGAAGCGAACGCCTCAGACAACGTCTCCAACACTCCCGAACGGGTGTCCGCGTTTAAACTTCGGCAGAAGATAATCCGAGTCTGAAGCAGAGACCAGGTTATTTGCTGGTAGGTAAGGCAAGTAGTAGCTGTTTCGCCTTCCCTTCTGAAAGCGTTCGCAAGACGTGTAGAAACCATCGTAGCTGTGGCTTTTCTATTTGGAGAAGCAGCGGTTGCACACCAAGGCTCTCTAGGACATTTTAACTCCGGACTACATCGAAACGTGCGAGCCAGCGATTCAGGGTAGAAGGCCTATTTCAGCAGTCTGTGTCAAATTGTTTCAACAATGGCCCACGGTCCATTATCATAGGTGAGAACTGGGATGAAGATGGACCTGAACACAGACAGCTTAGTCTTCAGACCCTGCCTTAGTCAGAATGGCGTGGGCTAGTTGACGCAGAACCCCGATAGCGATTCTCGTCCGCTGGCCATTCTCTTCATTTTCCATCACCAGTAATATGAACTAAAAGGTGAAATCATTTACCTACCCACTGCTTCTACGTCTATCTGCAAAGCGCAGGAAAACGAGGAAGCACTAGGCTTTTGGAATTAGACACGTTCACACGCGTTCCAGCCATGTCGCACTCGGCTTTCGAAAGCTTTCCCTCTCCACAGAGCGCTGGAGATATTAAACATGCCAGAAAACAAGGTCGTACGCAAACAGCAACATTCTCGATTCGACATCTTCCACTTTGATGCAATCGTCGCCCTGGCTGCGATTGACTCTCTCTCATGCATGTACAACACGAACAGAAGAGGGAACTCAAGGCATCCTTTGCGGAGACCAGTGTCGAGAATGAGAGTTTTCGACTCAATGCTCACATACCCTGACGCTGCACCTATCATTAACATATAGTAACTGGATGGTTCGTAGCAAGTGGCCATGGATTCTATGTTTGCAGGCACGCTGACAGCATATTGTGCGAGAGCCAGCTATAGACCTTCTCCAAGCCAACAATGCACATGTATGCCGGATGAGCGAACTCT